GGGAGGCCCCACGGGTACCTCTTGTGTCGTCCACCTGACACCACGGAGGCCTCCCCAGGACAGAGCGGACAGCCTGCCTGGGGCAGGTGGGAGCTCCTGGTGACCCTGCAGGGGACATGAGAGGGACGGACCAGGCAGGAGGGGGTGGGAGCCCAGGCAGAGCCATGGGGCTCGGGGCCGAGGGGGCCTTTCTGGGTCTGAGCTGGGAGTGGGCGTGCAGGTGGTGCGTGTGATCCAGGAAAGCTGCCCTGGTGACGTGAGGCTGATCGTGCTTCAGTGACAAGCTTCCGGGTGATCCCAGAACAGGATAGTGAGACGGATCCTGTTAGAAGAAGGTAAGTGAATCCTCCCCAAGAGGAGGCTCTGCGAACTCGTCCTGGGAGGGAGGTGAAGGGAACAGGCGTGGAACCTGCGGGGAGCGGGCAGTCCCCCTGGGCGGGCGGTGGGTGCAGACCCCACTCCGTGGTCCCACAGCTGTGCTTCCAGCTGGATTACTTGGCTTCTTGGAGCCTCAGCATCCCAGTCTGCTCATGGGGTGATGGTTGCATGGACTGACTAGTAATTCGCTCAGAACAGGGTAGGAAGGGGTCTAGTGGAAATTTCACGGAACACCGTCAGTGTGGGAATCGCAGGCCCTGTTTCCCGCAGGTCTGTCTTCAGGATCGGGAGAGCAAATCCGACCAGACTTGCAGCAGAGCCTGGGGACGGGCTCCGTTTGGTGGGTCCCCCGGTTTCCTGAGTCTCGGAAGGGGCAGCTCCAGCGGGCAGTGGCAGGTTCATCCCACACCTGGAAGCATCCAGACCTCAAGGCCCAGCAGCCTCGAGCCCTGTGTCTGGGCCCCCGGGAGGCAGGCGGAACAGGCCGCCGTCCTCCTCGGCCCTCTTCCTACCCAGAACATTCGGGGTCCGGGCCGTCATTAGGGAGAAGCAGGGATGGGGGTGTCCTATGTGAGAACAGGACACGGGACAGCTTGTGCACGTGGACGTCCACACCGGGAATGGGGGTCAGTGGGACGCGGGCACAGGGAGGGGCAGGCGGTGGGCCTGAGGAAGCAGGGCGGGGCCGGGGGTCCTGGGAGGGGGTGCGAGCTTCGCCTGTGCCGGGCCTCACACTCCACGGGGCTTCCCTCCCCTGTTCACTGGGCAGGAGGGGCCGAGCAGCGTTGGTGGAGGGACCCCTCGCGTCCTCAGACCCTGGCAGCATCAGCCCTCCAGGTTCTGGGTCGGGGAGCCTGTGGGGCGCAGGCCCAGCTGTGCTCGCAGGGAGGCCTGGAGGGGTCGGGCGGGAAGCACGGGTGTGGTCTCGCCTGTGCGGAAGCTCCCGAGCCAGTGTCCAGTGGGAGCCCTCACCTCGCACGTGGGTTTCAAGTCCACGGCTCAAATCACCTTCTAGCCACTTGGTTTGTTTTCTAGACACAAAGTCCTAATATCTCCTATGTCCCCTGCCCGTGAAAAGGCACGTCTCACCTGGCACCAGGTGCTGCCTCTGGTCCCGCCTGACTGGACGCCCAGCAGCCAGTGTCACCGCATCACGACTGTCAGGGGGGTGTCAGGCGTGGGGGGACGAGAGCACACGGTCCAGGCCCACGAGGGGCCGTGCCATCCACGGAGCCGGTGCTGTGGCTGTAGGTGTTCCCTCCCCACCCCACGGGCAGAGACCACCGTCCCCTTACAGACTGTTACCAAGTGAAGTCATGTGCACCCTGCTCGGGCCCCAGCCTGCGAGGCGCTCTGCCCCAGCGGGGAAGGTTTCCTTTTTCCACGTGGGTTCCAGTAGGCAAATAACAGAACCAAAGCCGAGACCAACACAGCACAGGTTCTACTCAGTGGCCAAAGAGTGGAGAAGCGGGAACTGAGCTCACAGATCACCTTCTCGCCCTCCTGGAGAGAGTGGTTTAATTTTAGAGTAAAGACAAAGGGAGGAGGAGTGAAGTTAGTGATGGGATGAAGAGGCCTTCCGGGGAAGGGGCGGGGCTTCTTCCAAGGGGCTGGGGTACCACCTCCTTTTACCCGTTTCTGGTCCTTCATGTCCAGCCATGGCCGCCGGTAGGTGTGTCACTTAATATGCTGATATAGTAAACTCAACATGTGATGAGACTCAGGGTCGGTTGGAGGTCACACTCGTTGCCATCTTGGTCCCAGCTGGGTCCATCTGTTTGTTTGTTTGTAGCGTCCTTTCTTATCTCTGGATCCCTTCACTTAAATACTTAGGGGAACTCCTGCTGAAGGTGGGGGTGCAGGACAGCCCTGTGAAAGCTGGGTGCACGGGTTTGAGCAGGGCCCGCAGCAGCTCTGACAACAAGAGGCGGAGGCTGAGATGGGCGGGCAGTCTGACGCCCACACTGGGGCCTGTGGTCGACATGTAGAGGGGGTCAGCCGGGGGCACGTGTCAGAGAAGGTTCTCGGTGTTTACACAGAAGACGTGAACTTGGGCCCAGATGCACAGCTGCCTGCAGATGCTGCTACAGAAACCCCTGATTCTTTCCTCAGAAAACTGGTGGGTGGTCATTCAGGCAACAGGGCAAACTGCTTGCTCTGGAGGCTCTTGTGGGGAAGTGGGGGCACAGCAACAGGGGCTGAGCCTGTGTAACCCCAGAAGCCCTCCCAGGACGGCTCCAGAACCGCTTCTGGAATGGCAAGGAGAAGTGGGTCTTCCACCTACTAGATGTGCAGGAGAGGGCTGGGTTCTGCAGGGCCACCCTCACCTTCAGGGACTGGCTGGGAGGCTCACAGGACCCGGCACATGCTTGTGGCTTGTGTCCTCACAGCTGAGATGGGTCACAGCACGCAGTAGGGATACACGGGAGGGAGGGCCCCTGCTCCGGTCACCTCGTGACCCTTCATGCCCCCTCCTTCCCTCGAGGGTCTCTAGGGTGTCTCTTCCCCCAGCAACAAGGGCAGAACCATTACAGTTACCCCCACCCCCGTCCCCCCAGGGAAGCTCATTAGAGGCTTGGTACCCGGCTGGGGGCTGGTCACGTGGTGTGCTCTGCCCTCACCCTCCAAAATGCCGGTGCCCAGAAGGGCAGCCGGGGTTCAGCATGAGCCACATGGTTTGTGCACACAGCACAGGCGCAGGGGGCTGCCCCTAATGGGAGGCGGGAGGGTTTAGATCAGGCCAGGGAGCTGCTCACCAGCTGCATTAGCTTCCCAGGGCAGCTGTGACAAACGACCACAAACGGAGGCTCAGAGCAACAGAAACCTGTCCTCTCTCAGTCCCGGAGACCAGACGTCTGAGGTCAAGGTGTCCCAGGGCCGCTCTCCCTCCGGAGGCTCCAGGGGAGGGTCCTTCCCACCTCTTCCAGCTTCTGGGGGCTCCAGGCGTCCCTGGGCTTGTGGCCTCATCCCTCCCGTCTCTGCCTCTGTCTTCACATGGTGTCTCCTGTGTGTCTGTGTCTCTCCTCTAGTCTCTTAGAAGGACGCTGTCACTGATTCAGGGCCACCCGCATCCAGGATGACCTCATCTCCAGATCCGTAACTAATTATACCTGCGGAGACCCTACTTCCAAATAAGGTTCCATTCTCATATTCTGGGGGGCATGACATGGACATGACTTTTGGGGGGACCTCCCCATTCAACCCACCATAGCACCCAGTTCCCAGATGCCAGCCGACCTTCCTCAGGACAGCATCAGGCTGGTGATGTTCTGTCTTTCTGCATGGAGTTGTCTCTTGTTTCTTGTGGTAACAGTGAGGTTGGGTGGGTGGTGCTGCCGGCTGACCTCCCGGTCATTCCAGGGACCATGCTGACGTGTCCTTCCCGGGAGGGTGCGAGCATGGCCAGGGCTCCCTGGGAATACTCCACACAGACCGCTCCGTGGTCAGACACTTGCATGGGCTGGACGGGTCCCTGGCACCTTCTACCACATCCACAGCCTGGTGGACTCTGTACGGGCCTATGACCAGGAGGTGTTGACCGGCAGGATCGGTGGGAGCCCTCCTGCCTGCCACATGGCCTCCAGCCCACCACAGACCCTCCAGTCCTGCCATGGACATCCCCATCGCATTAACCCCCAAGACGGCTTCTGGAAGGGGTGAGAATTTGACCATGAAGAAGACAGGGCAGGCCCTAACTGCAGCAGGTGAAGGCAAGGACTGGGGGTGCTTGGCTATTTGTCCCCAAAAGACCCCGAATGTGGGCTCTGACTTGATGGGTCCACCTCCGCCTGAGCTCACCTGGGGGGTCGCTGCAGGTAAAGCATGTACTTGGGTGATTTTCCAACTCTCCCCACCCCCAGCTTCACCCTCTGGGCACCCCTGGACCCACTAATAGTCTTTAAATAGTGTCTCTCACCCAACAGGACTGCGGGGGAGATTTTAATATCGTGTGGGAGTCCAGTGACCAGCGCCCATGTGTCCTGTGTGTCTTGGGAGGGGAGGGAGCCTCGCTCTCACATTCCTGCCCCAGTGCACCTGGGGTCGGGGGCAGCAGACCCAGGCTCTGTTCCAGCAGAAGCTCCCTTTCTGTGAACAGGTCTTCCCCCACTCCCTTTATCCTTACTGGAGACTCAGGAGGCCACAGCATCGGGGCACCTCCAGCACCAGGACCCCACCCTAGGGAATCTCAAGAGCAGCGACCAGGCCTGCAGGCGGAGGGGAGGAGGGAGCCGGCCTCTTCAGGATCCCCGGGGCTAGGAAGCCTCCTATGCAGGAGGGCCTTGGATTCAGCTTAACTATCACCCGGGTCTCCTACCCCTCCCCTGGTAGGGGGGCCCTTCAGATTCCAGGGCCCCAAGATCCTCCCCACCAACTTCTGACCCCAACTGCAGAGTTGGGGACCCAGAGACCCCCTCCCCGGCTTCTTTTTCCTTGGAGGCTCCCAGAATTCCCTGAAGCTGTTATACTCAGGGTTTATTATGGTGAAGGATGCAAGTTAAAATCAGCGAGGACAGGGGGATGAGCAGGGTCCAGCTTCCTCAGCTGTGGCAGCCCAGGGAATCCCACCTGAGTCCTGAAGTGCTGGGTTTATTAGGGTCTGTCACATCAATGTGGGGACCGCCATGTGCCTGACCTTGGCCTCCAGCCCCCGGGAGACCCAGGAAGCCCCACCGTGCATCACGCCGTCAGCACAGACCAGCCTGGAGCGAGACCCACGGTGCACGGACACTCCCATCAGACTCAAGGTGACCTCTGGAGCCAGGACAGAAGCCTGGCCTCTCTGTGGGCAGGTGAACCCACACCGCATGGGCCCTGGTGCAGTGCCCGTTCCGCGTGGTCAGCATGGGTGCACACGGGTCAGCCAGTGTCTGTGTGTCTCAGCCTGTGACCACAGACCACACTGTCCCGCTCTGCTCACAAGAGCGAGGCCAATGGAGAGACAACGGGGGTGGGAACAAAGCCGGGTCCGGCTGGGTAAGAAAGGGTCCAAGGAGCGAGAACCTGGCTACCCTTGCCTGGTGAGCCGAGAGCTGACGTCCACCCTGTAGGCAGCCCCTCTCCCCACGTCCCGAGGTAAGGCTGCCTTTCCTGCACCCTGGGGCAGGGTCATGCCTGTGTATATAGCAGGATGCACAGCAATGCACGCAGCAGGCCTGATGCCTGCCCTTGCCATGTACTTGGCGGTTTGGTGAGGGTGGAACATCCCGACAGGACATGGGTCGACCCCGGGGAGGAGGTAGGGGTGAAGCGTTTGGGAGCCTCTGGAGGGGATCCTCACCTGTCTGCACAGGTGGACTGAGGACACAGACCGAGGGTGGGAAGGCGGGGAGCCCAGTCCTGGGTCATCCCTGAGGCTGGAGGAGGGGTGTGGAGCTGGGGGTGATGGCGGTGGGGACAAGGGGCTGATCACAGGACAGCGAGGAGACAGAGCATCTGAGGCAGCGGGTAAGGTGGAAGACTGTGCCCGATGGGAGGACGGAGAGACCAGCAGGCGGCACTGTAGGCGCGGGTACAGGGCGGCGCCAGAGCCCCGCACCGCTGGAAACCACGCAGTGTCCAGACAGAACCCCAGAGGATGGGGGCCCGGATGGGCGGGAAGAGTTTGGAAAAGTCACCTTATCTCCACATGTCCTGGGGGAGGGGTCCCTGCTCCAGCCTCGTTCCTTAGAGTCTCCCCACCTGGGGAGTCAGCACACTCAACAGCCGGTCGTGCATGGCTTGCAATTTGTCCGGGGGATGAAGGGGAAGCGGGGGAAGGAATGAGAAACAAGCTCTATGTGTTTGGACAGCACATGCCACTCTAATTTCCAATCAGGAAGAGGAATTTCCCAAAGGCTCAGGCTGTCCCTGTAACCAGAATGGGGCTTGAAGCAATTCTGCCACTTTGTGGCCGGTTCCAGAAACAAGTTGAAGACAGTTTCTCAGGGGCACTGCAATCCACAACGCCTGCAGTGTTGTAAATGACAACTGTGGTAGAAAAATGTCTTGGGGTAAGTAACTGAAAATGACTTGAAAACAAAGCAGAATTGCAGGAACCGGATTGCAAGAGGTAGATTGGACTCGCCGTTAAAGTACATGAAAGCTGCTCAACGTTGCCTACGATTCAGTTGGCCAAAAAGGGCGTAAAGGTGTAAATCCATACGCCCTTGTGCCAACCAAACATGCGGGAAAAACAAATCAACACTACAAAGATGCATCGCTTTGCCCCAGTCAGAATGGCCACCCTCACAAAGTGTAAAAACCAGAAATGGAGGAGAGGACGTGGAGAAAAGCGAACCCTGCTGCGCTGATGGTGGGAATGTCAACTGCTAACAGCCATGCTGGAGAAGGGTATGATGTTTCCTAAAAATTCTAAAACACAGAGCTATAGGGACTTCCCTGTGGCGCAGTGGTTAAGAATCCAACTGCTAATGCAGAGGACACAGGTTCGAGCCCTGGTGAGGAAAGATAACACATGCCGCGGAGCAACTAAGCCCGTGCACCACGACTACTGAGCCTGTGCTCTAGAGCCCATGAGCCACAACTACTGAGCCCGTGTGCCACAACTACTGAAGCCTGACGCCTAGAGCCCATGCTCTGCAAGAAGAGAAGCCACTGCAATAAGAAGCCCATGCACTTCAACGAAGAGTAGCCCCAACTTGCTGCAACTAGAGAAACCCCACATGCAATAACAGACCCAACACAGGCAAAAAAATTAATTAATTAAAGAAAAATAGAGCTACAGAGCATACGGCACTTCCACGCCTGGGTGTATATCTCGGGATAACCATAAATCCATAGGACACAGGCACTTCAACTATTAGTGCAGCCCTTTTGCAGGAGCCTCGACTTGGAAACAATATACATGTCCTTGGAAGGAAAAAATGGATAAAGAAGATGTGGTACTTATGTACAATGGAACATTACTCAGCCATGAAATCAATGAAATAAGGCCAGTTGCAGCAACTCAGGTGGACTTAGGTACGATCATTCTAAGTGACATAAGTCAGACACAAAAAGACACTTAGCATAAGATATCACTTATAAGTGGAATCTAAAAATGGCTACACATGAACTAAGTTACAAAACAGAAACAGAGTCACACATTTAGAAAACGTATTTATGGCTGCTAAAGGGGAAAGGTGGGGTGGGGCGAAGCATAAACCAGAGGGTTGAAATTAGCACAGATACCGTTCCAAAGACCAAATAGGTAATCGACAAGACCTACTCTATAGCTCAAGGAACTGGACTGGGCACACTCTAGTCACCAGAAAAGAATATGTACGACTGGTAAGAATCCGGAAAAGAATTTATGGATGTCTCTCTGTAAGTGAATCAAGTGGATGTGCAAAAGCAAGAAAGACAGCATTGAAAATCAGATATACCCCATTATAAAAATAAATTACAAAAAAAAAAAAAAAACAGAAACTTACAAAATTCGTTCAGGGGCTGTGATGCACCCTGGATTGACCACATCTAGACCCACAGCTGGATGGGCCCTAAGGCTGGACACTCGTGGGGCTGAGAGGCTGGGTGAGGATGAGTCAGCAAATGCAGCCCCTTTAGAGTAATACTGTCTGGTCCTGATTCCATGGGTCGCAAATCTCCAGATGCAGGCAACCCTTCATACAGCTAAAACATGCATGGGACACACAGAAGATGGTACAGCATCGGATCAGGAAGAGTTTGGGAAAGGCATCTCATCTCCTCATCTCCTGCTGCTCGGGTTCCCACCTCCAGCCTCTTTCCTAACAATCTCCCCACTTGGGGAAGTCAGCACCTTCAACATCCTGTTTCGCACAGTTTGGAATTTGTCCAGAGGATGAAGCGGAAGGGGGGGAAAACAATGAGAGACAAGCCCTAGGTGTTTGGACAGGCACATGTCACTCTAATTTCCAATTAGGAAGAGGAATTGACCAAAGGCCCACCTTGCCCCCGGAACCAGAATAGGGCTTGAAGCAATCCTGCTGTTTTGTGGACAGATCCCAAAGAAACAAGTTGAAAAATGGAGCTCAGGGGCACTGCAATTCACAATCCTGCAGGGTTGTAAAAGATTCCTAACCTCGAAAAATGCCTTGAGGTAAGTCATGAAACGGGACTTGAAAGCAAGGCAGAATTGCAGGAAAGGGATTTAAAGAGGTAGATTGGACTCGCCATTAAAGCTCATGAAAATGGGCTGAACTTCGCCAACGATGCAGTTGGCCAAATAGGGTGTATGCGTTTATGCGTTTTTTCCAGAATATATTCAGGAAAAACGCATACGCCCTTTTTGGCCAACCAAACAGGTGCGCAGTGAAAATCAACAATCCAAAGAGGTATCAGAAGGGCCGTCCTCACAGTGTAAAACCAAGAAATGCAGGATAGGACGTGGAGAAAAGGGAGACCTGTTACGCTGATTGTGGGAATGTAAATTGCCAAGGGCACTGTGGAGAAGTGTATTGTGTTTCCTAAAAAATCTAAGAAACAGAGCTACAGAGCATAAGGTACTTCCACTCATAGGCATATATTTGGGAAAACCAAAATTCGACAAGACACAGGCAACCCAACGTTTAATGCTGCTCTGTTTACAAGAGCCTCAACTTGGATACAACCTAAATGTCCTTAAAAGGAAAAAATGGATAAAGAAGATGTGGTACTTCTGTACAATGGAATATTAGCCATGAAATCAATGAAATAAGGTCAGTTGCAGGAACTCGGGTGGACATACGTACGATCATTCTAAGTGACATAAGTCAGACAGAAAAAGAGACTGACCATATCACTTATAGGTGAAATCTAAAAATGACTACACATGAACTAAATGACAAAACAGAAGCAGAGTCACACATTTAGAAAGCACACTTATGACTGCTAAAGTGGAAAGGTCGGGTGAGGTGAGGCATAAAACAGGAGGTTGAAATGAGCACAGGTACTGTTCCATAGACCAAATAGGGAATCAACAATACATGCTCTAAAGCTCAAAGAACTGGACTCAGCACACTCTAGACACCGGAAAAAATATATACAACCGGTAAGAATCCGGAAAAGAATTTATGGATGTCTCTCTGTAAGTGAATCAAGTGAATGTACAGCAGCAAGAAATACAGCACTGAAAATCACCTACACCTCATTATAAAGATAAATTCCAAAACCAAAAACAGAGAGAGAGAGAGAAATTATTACAAAATTTGTTCAGGGGCTGTGATGCAACCTGGATTGACCACATCTAGACCCACAGCCGGATGAGACCTAAGGCTGGACACTCATTGGGCTGAGAGGCTTGGTGAGGATAAGTCAGCAAATGCAGCCCCTTTAGAGTAATACTGCCTGGTCCTGATTCCATGGGTCCCAAATCACCAGGTGCAGGGGACCCTTCGTACAGCTAAAACATGCATGGGACACGCAGAGGATGGCACGCCATCGGTTCGGGAAGAGTTTGGAAAAGGCACCTCATCTCCTCATCTCCTGGTCCTCGGGTTCCCACCTCCAGCCTCTTTCCTAACAATCTCCCCACTTGGGGAATCAGCACCTTCAATATCCTGTTTTGAACAGTTCAAATTTGTCCAGTGGATGAAGAGGAAGGGGGGGGAACCAATGAGAGACCAGCCCTAGGTGTTTGTACAGGCACGTGTCACTCTAATTTCTAATCAGGAGGACGAATTGCCCAAAGGCTCAGCTTGCCCCCGGAACCAGAATAGGGTTTGAAGCAATCCTGCTGTTTTGTGGCCAGTTCCCAAGAAAGCAAGTTGAAAAATGGAGCTCAGGGGCACTGTAATTCACAAACCAG